TAGGTCTTATGGCTCCAGCATATCAGCGCGATGTTCGTAGCGCACAATACGCGATATCCAATGAGAGTGTATTTTTAGAATGAAAACATCATAAAACTGTACACTCATTGGATATCGCGTGTCGCGCGCGACAAACATCGCGCTGGTGTACCAGAGCATTTTGTATGCTGCCGCAAAGTTTCTGTAACAGTAACCTTAAGGCGTGAACTTAAGCCGATGAGCCAATCAGGATATTACTTTAGATCTACGTACTCTAACGGAAATAAAAATAGCAGTAAACTTATCCATAAGACGAGTTTCAATCGGTTGGAATTTTTATTACGAGGTTATGGATAAGTTTACTGTTTTTTTCCATTTCTATTAGATTACATAATCTAAAAGCAGTATCCTGATTGGCTCATCGGCTTAAGTTTACACCTTACGCATACTGTTAGGGCCCTGGCACACAAAAAACTTAAAGGCAGTAAGACTTAAGCAGTAAGACGTAAGCATAATACGTGGTCTACAATGGTAGTATCAGTAATGAATGAAGCTGTCAGAGTTTGATCAATCACAATCGATTATTCTCTCTTCAATTGTGATTGGTCAATTTGTTACTCTTACAACCTCATCCACTACTGTTACTGCCATCACCATAAGGCCAAGGCACACAGAAAACTTAACATGTTACATTCGATCGCTAATCATAGATTAGAGTTGATTTTTACATAGATACTAATTACTGTTTGAATTTTTGCTTGAGATTAAAAAGACACAACGCATAGTAGCAACATATTGAAATTTGTTTTAGGGATAATCCTTTTTAATTTACTCATGATTTTACTGATCATTTTCATTTTATGTTTGTATATAAAATAATAAATTTAGTAATAAAAGAAATATTCGAAAAAAGTTAAGTTTATAGAGATTGATCAAGAATGTACGTTGAATAGAGATTTGATATGTACATTCACATAAAATTTTTATTATTTAATTTTTAAGATCATATAACAAATTAATTCAATAATTACTACTTAATCTATTACTTTATCTATTATTTTTTGTTTCTTTTATTTATTCTTTTAGATATGTTTAATAAACATATCTAAACTTTTTTGTAATGTTTTTTTCACAGAAAATGAATGATGAAGAAGAAGTGCGTTATTAATATTAATTTAAGTTTATATGTTTTGCGACAAAGAATATCTTTTCGATGAATTAACTGAAAATGTTGGGTACGCGATATAAACATAAGACGTCACTATTAAGGAGATTTTTATCATCTATTTCAAGAAATGAAAGATCCGGAGATGTTTTTCCGTTATACCAGAATGATTCCATGTATTTTTACACAATTATTAGAAGTTCTAAGATCATTTTTGATAAAAAATAATCGATCATCGATTCATTGGCACTGGAACTATGCTTTGCTGTGACTTTAAGATATGTATTTATTTTAACTATAATGTATATTAGATTAAAGAATTATTCAATTATATTAAATCTCTTATTTTTGCTTGTTAGGTATCTTGCTATAGGAGATCAAATATCAATTGCTTTTGCATAGGAGAATCAACAGCAATAAAAGTGTAACATGTAAAATAATAAAAGAAATTTGTGCTGTAATTATAAAAGTGTTAGTGCCAATATATTTGCAAGCTCCTACAGAAGAAGATTAATATATGCCAAGGATTTTGAACAAATTGGAATTTTCCAAATTGTTGCAGAGTCGTCGATGGAAAACACAAGTGATGCAAATACAAGTTTCACCAAACTCTGGAAGTTTGTATTTTAATTACAAAAAGACTTTTAGCATAATATTGGCATGTGATCATAACTATAAATTCATTCTAATTAATGTTGGAACATATAGTAGTAACAGTGATGGAGGAGTTCTTTCAAAATCGGAATTTGGCAAAGCTTTATATACCAAAGCTATATATACTTTATATAACAGTAATTTGAATTTACCACAAGGCAAAGCCAATTTATCCAGAAGTAATACAAAAACATCATGTTTCTTGATTGGAGATGAGGTATTTCAATTAAGTATAAATATGATGAGGCCATATTCTGGTCGAAATTTAAGTTAATTTTAATGAAAAAAGGAACATTTAATTATAGGTTATCGCGAGTAAGAATTATAGAAAACGCATTTGGAATCCTTCACATTGGAGTCTTTAGAAAATCTATTGCCATGCATTCCAAAAGCGTCGACAAGATAGTATTAGCAATTATATTTCTTCATAATTTTTTAGACTGTCAACGATTTAATGGCAATGAATAATAGAATATATTACCCTCCAAACTTTATTGATACTGAACAAGAAAATGATGATATCATTCATGGAGCATGGAGAAACGAAATGTCTGGAAACGTTCCACAAATGGAACGTATAAGACTAAATACATAAGTTTTGTTTGTTAAAGTGTTTTATGAAAGTATTAAGAATGTTTATAAATTAAAGCATAATTATTAAAATATAGTGTAGTTAATATAATGTAGTTAATATAACATATTAATACATTTAAGAAAATATAATATATAAAAATTAATATCTAGTTCCAAAAACAGATTGATTAATAATACATATACATATATACATTCATTTCACATTTATTGGAGTTTTTAAGTTCGTGTCTGTCTTTTCAACACGTTTCGTGGAAAAAATAATACTGAAATGTAACTATATAGTGTAAAATAAATTGAAATAAAATAAAGTTTAATGTAACATAAATTGAAACAAAACAAAATAAAGTTTATGTATAAACATTGCGATAGAATTTATATATGTCAAGTAACATTGCAATTCTAAGAAATAAATGCTTCGTGTCTTGAAACATCTGAGCTTGAAGTAT